AACAAAGTCAAACGAATATGGTAATTTTTTCTAATTGTTATTTTTTTTTTTTACTTTTTGGTAATTAGAACAAATTCTAGACGTATTGGTAGAAAAATTATCACTTTAATGGACAATTTTTATAAAAAAATGAAGCCAAACGGACACCAAACTTTCAACATTTTTCAGGTAGAAAATTATACCAATCAAACACAATTAATTACAATTTTCAGGAAAACATTTTCTAGGAAATTTTTTTCCCTGTAAACATTTTCTTTCCATCCTTGCAATCAGACGGACTCTTGGAATAATTAACCAATGAGAGGTCGGCGCAGTTTTATCCTTGAGTAAATTTAATCATTACTCATTGAACTTTAACTTTGTTACCACTTACTCATTCAACTTTAATGGGTTACCGAACGGTCACTCATCTTTCCTTATAGCTACCCATCCACCACTCCCCTGACTTCCATCTCTTCAATTTGACAGAAAATCACACGTGGATGACGGTGATCTCACGTGGCAAACACTCCCCCGTTAAGTTGACAACGTGGAATTAAAACACACCACATTTCTCATTTTCACAGCACGCTTCTCCTTTCTCCCCCATTCTCACTCACGGCACTGCTCACTGAAAAAATCCCCAATTTCAAACCCTAAATTCCCAAACCCCTCGTTGGCTCCCGGAAGAGAACCCCTAATCCACCACCACGAAGGAAGCTGCCATCGCCCAGCTCAAAGCCCTCATCACCCAGCTCGATGAAGTTGCAAGCTGGGAAAGAGAAGAAGTCAGGAAAATAAGGCAAACCAAAAAACTGTGATGAAGAAGAGGAAAAAAATCCAGCTGAGAATAATCCTGAAGTGAAAATAAGTAATTCTTCTCCTGCAGTTAATGGTCGTCTAACAGTGTTATTGCTGCTGGTTATTGTAGTCCTCTTTGTACAGGGATATTGCTGCGGGTTATTGCAGTCCTCTTTGTACTATTGATAATATGAACTTTGTATGATCTTTGTACTATTGAATGAATGAATGAATTATGTTATAACTTGGTTTGGTTCATTCTTGTGGCTGAATTATTTTATTGAAAATTGGATTGATTGAGGTGCATAAATGTGATACACCAGATTGAGAAGCTTCAATATCACATTCGAATTCAAGTAGATTGGACCAGTTGGGATGTAGTCTGAGTCTTGCATTTGGTTTCCATTTTTTGCATCAGATTTGTTCTGTGATGCACCAGATTTGTTCCCAGATTTGCAGTTGGGATGTAGTCCGTGAGGTGCATAAACTCTGTGATCTGTTCCCTGATTTTCAATATCAGATTTGCAGTTGGATGTAGTTTGTGATGGACCAGATTTGTTCTTGAACTCATTGGAAGAGCATGAGTTCCATTGAATGATGGTAAAATATGAGATCTATTTCTCACAAAAATTTATTAGACTTCGATTCAGTTTGATCAAGGCCAAGTTCCTTAGTTTGAAAAATGCAGTCCAGATCAATCATTCTCCACCTTATTCATTCATTCATTCTCAAAATCATAAATATAACCAGTAAACTGATGGAATTTAAATATAAACATAAACCAGTACACTGCTGGATGTTGGCCAAACTATAGTTCGTTCATTCATTCATTCATTCATTCTCAAAATCATAAATATAAACCAGTCAACTGCTGGAATGTAACCATTCATTCAAAATACATTCATTCATGATGGTTAAACGACATTTCAAACATGAATACTTTGATCACTACTAAACTAGAGATATCGCTAAACATTTAAGTGGAAAAAAAGTCAACAACTTCTACCACTAGGTCGACTTCTATAATGATTCAAATCAATTATCATCACTATAACACCATCCATACTACCCCTAGTTACAGCAAGTCCAGCAAGCTCCTTGTAAGCAGCCAAAAGTCCACCAGAAGAATCCAGTTTCTCAGTAATGCCATTATTTTCATTCTTTTAAAATGGACTTCTTATCTTGAATGGACTTCTGAATATAAGTTGTTGTTTCAAGTCACAATTGTTCCCTCATCCCAGAGTCCATCAGATGCAGACAAGATATTCCATCTCTGGAGTCAAAGATATAACCTTGGTATCAGGCTCGGCCCATACCCAATCTTTCAAATGAACATCTCCAACGCTTCTTGAAACAGATAGTATTCCATGAGCTCTCCAAGTTCCACGATGAAGCTCTACATATCTTCCCTGCATAATGAAACACTCAACTGATTGTTCTGTGGGGTGGATTATAAAGTACTAGGTTACTTGAAGGGATAAAAGGCACTAAAGTCTTATCTACTTGAAGGGTTTCAAGATAAGCTTTAGAAGTACCTTGTCCTCGATTCTTTTCTGCTCGTTCTCGTCCTGCTCTATGAACTTTTGTGATGGCTTCAGCTATTCCACCTCTAGATAGAACTGCTCTGCAATCTCCTAAGTTTGAAACTACCATCTCCTGTCCTTCAATCATGGCAGTAACACAACAAGCTTATCAGGTCCATTAGTATTTACAGTGCTGGAATATAATCAATCAGTTATAAATCACCAGTTTGCTGAATGCCAAATCAATCAGTTATACATGTTCCAGATAAATCATTCTCCACCTTATTTTCACTAAAGTGACTCTCAATTCTCCACCTTATTCATTCATTCTCCAAATCAAAAATATAAACCAGTACAACAGAAACCAGTAAACCGGTAAAACCATCAAAACAAAGCTGATAAAGCAAGAAGACCACATCCTATATTAACAAATGCACAAAATTGAATGAACTACTAATTTGCTGAATGAAGAGAAAGATCTTTTATTGATGAAGATCATGTTTTATAAAGATTACATCAATCCTATATATAGACTAACATCTCTATAAAACAGAAATGAAAGAGACTAAGTGCTACACAAAACATTTACATGTGCCAAAAAAATAGAATTCAGTTATGCAAATGGGAGGGGCGCTGGGCTACGAGTTCTTCTAGAATGCTCTTCTGCTTGTGACTCCTGTGACTTGGTGCTGAGTATGCTACTGACTAATGCTTTCTTCCAGCTCATCATCCAGCTTAGTGATCCTATTTTCCAATATCCTAAGCAACCAAGCTCCTTAGTAGTGTATGCAACCTGCCATAGAATTCACAAGCACTTATAAAAGAATCTGATAATCATACCAAGAATTATTTCATGATGATAGAAGTTGTAATTATCATGATGTAAAATGTATGTATTTAATAAATGGCAATGAATCATTCAAATAGACTAAGCGCCACAAATACATAAAAAATGCTAAGGTAATAGAAGTTAATAATTAAAAGATGGCAACAACACTATAATAATGCTAGACATACGCATTAAAGTTTAATTCAGACAATAATTAGATCAACATAGCGGATGACTGATTTACACAATTCATGCATAGGTAAGTCACTAAGGGAAAACCTGCAAGTTGCTTATATTCACTTCTGCAATTTCCCTTCCCAAACAGGACTGCAATCTTCCTTCTATATGGGCTCTTGCTTCAACAAGGAAATGTAACTAATTCCACCAATTTGCGGAGGCGAGCTGGGCGATTTCCACCAAACAGGGTTCTTGCTTCATCAAGCTGGGCGATTTTCTCTTCCAGCTGGGCGTTGTCGTCGCGGAGGGATTTGAGCTGGCAGATTCCTTCCTGGGTGATTTTGAGCTGGGGGATGGCGGATTTTGAGCTGGGCGATCAACAATTTTCGCCTGTCGGGATTTGAATTGGGAATTAAGAGTTTGAATTGAATTGGGAATTAACGATTCCAATTGGTGAGCAGAGAAAATGGGGGAGAACATGTTTGAAGAGGATAGTGCCATGAGTTTAATTACACGTTGGCAATTTAACTGAAGGAGTTTGCCAGGTAAGAAAATCATTATACACGTGTAATATTCTGTCAAATTGAAGAGACGGGAGTTGAGAGAGTGTTGGATGCGTAACAATAAGTAAAGATGGGTGACCGTTTGGTAACCCGTTGAAATTGAATGAATAAGTGATAATAAGTTTAAAGTTGAGTCAGCATTCATTAAATTAACTCTTTTATCCTTTATATTATAGTATGGCCCACGCTTTTCACTTGATAAACAAACAAATACGCAGAAACTGCTTCATTCATTTCCTTTTACTCACCGGCTAAGCAATAAAATTTTGTGGATCTATCCATCCAATCTTCTCTATCTACGATTTCTCTCTCTAGAATCTCGAGCTTATTTGAAAATCTCGAGCAACTATGGCATCTGGATTATCGGGTAGGGGTAGAGATTCGGGTTCCAAATCGTTCGATTTCGGGTCGGATGATATTCTTTGTTCATATGAAGATTTCGGCAATCAGGATGGGAATAACGGAAATCACTCCGATCCGTCTTTCGGAAATAACTCGACTAAGGTAATTCTTTGAATAGGTTATGGTCTTTTTTTTTTCGACCTTTTGAAATTAGGGCTTGATTTTAGGGGTAATTTTGGGATGGGTTGTTGATATTTGGTCTTCGGTGTTTACTTTTGTTTATTCGAACTATTGAATTCGGGTATTTTTTTTTCTTTTAACATTAAAAAGGAAAAAAATGTTATTTCTTTTTATTGAGCTGCGTGAACAAATAGTGTACTCAGATTAATAATGTATTTGAAGTTGATTTTGGATATCCTTTGTGTTAAATTTATGAGATTAAGAAACCATGCTTCTGTGGTTAGATGAAATTGGAAGGAAAATGATCATTAAACAAAAGGAATGAATATTGAGCATATACCAAGTTTACTGTATGGCGTCGTTTTACTTGTTTGTGCTTTCATAACCGTCAGAAGTTTGTTAATGGAAGTTTGTAATCAGGATGAAAGTAATTGGGTTAAGATATGGTGAGAATGTTGAAATAATGAGGAAATTATCCGAAGAAATTTAAATCCTGCTCTTTGAAAATGGGGAATAGAAATGGAATTATGTTTTTGACTAATATTTTTCTTTTGATTCATACGAGAAGGTGAAGAAGTTTTAGTACGTAATTTTATGATTATATATATTTCTTTGTTCTTTATATTTTCTTGCTCAGGGGATGTTTAAGAGACTCTGCCTTTGCATCGCAGCCAAAAGTTTTAAAATGACCAAAAACCTACAACTAGTTTAAACATACAGCCTATTAACAATTCTGTACTCTAAATTAAGCAGGAATTTCACAAAAACAGAGTGGCTAGATCATCTGGTTATCCTACTACTTACAGTCCACCAGAAGAATCTTCATTTAATCAAGATGTTATCTCTACTGTTGACAAGACCATGAAGAAGTATTCGGATAATCTTATGCGCTTTCTAGAGGGACTTAGTTCGCGACTGTCACAGTTGGAATTATATTGTTACAACCTTGACAAATCTATTGGGGAAATGCGTTCTGATTTAGTTCGTGATCATGGAGAAGCAGAGACAAAGCTCAAATTCCTGGAAAAGCACGTCCAAGAGGTGCGTAAACTGTCATGTAGTTTTTGTGTTCATTACTTCTAGTTTCTACACTTCGTGACGTCCCACGTATGAGTATGAGTTTAGCTTTTTTCATTTCTCTTGGTGCAAGTACTGTATGATGCTGTCTTCTGATGCTGTAAACCAAATATTAAGGAATGTCAAGCATTACACAAGTGTAAATACGGTCCTGCTTTTGCTATTTTTATATTTTATTAATCTTATTTGTTGGATTTTTTTTCTTTTTTTTAATCTTTCAACATAGATTTCCCAATAAAAACCATATGGTTTTGCTGTAGTTATCATTGGTGCGGTCATCAGTTATTATTGTTTAGACATTTTCTATGCATTTCGTCAAATTCCAGTCATTGAACCTTAGCACAAACTCAATGAATTATTATGAGATTTAACTCCATTCTCTCCCTTTTTTCCACTCTCAACATATCTGTACATGAGCTTGTGTACTTCGATATTATGTTCGTTTGAATGTGCAAATGTGGCATCTCGCTTGGATGCCTAGTAATATGGGTTTGTGCATTCTTGCCCATGTGCCAGCTCGAGTGCTTCTCTTTTGATATCCATGTCCTGACACTACTGATGCTCTAGTTTTCTAATTATTTAATGCAGGTTCACAGGTCTGTGCAGATCATAAGAGATAAGCAAGAACTAGCTGAAACTCAGAAGGAGCTGGCCAAGCTTCAGCATGCTCAAAAGGAATCCTCTTCGACTAGCAATTCTCAACAGAACGAGGATAGATCATCACAACCTGCTACCGATGCCAAAAAGAGTGATAACTTATCAGATGCACATGGTCTGCAATTGGCACTCGCTTTACCACATCAAGTAGCTCCTCAACCTCCCCCTCCTACACAAGCCGTTGAGCATCAGCAGGCTCCTCATATGGCACCCCCACCATCCTTGGCTTCACATAGCATGGCTCAAGCACAGGCATATTACTTGCCTCCACCATCTCAGGTTCAATATTTGCCCACACAAACTCAAATTCAAGATCTCTCAAGGATGGCACCTCAGCAGACACAATCAAACCAGAGCCCACAGGTACAGTCATTACCCCAATATCAGCAGCAGTGGACACAGCAGCCACCTCAGCAGGTTCAACCCCCCCAGCAGCTCCATATGCAACCACAGATTAGATCCTCGTCTCCAGCACTTTACCCTTCTTATCCACCAAATCAACCAAATCCTTCCCTTGCAGAAATGACTCCTAATAGCATGCCGATGCAAGTGTCATATTCAGTAACATCCCAATCGGGCACCGCTGGACCTGAGGCTATGTCCTATGGATATGGCGGTGTTGGCAGACCAAGTCAACCCCAACCTCCCACGCAGCATCCAAAGTACAATGCACAACTAGGAGATGGGTATGTGTCCAGTGGACCTCGTCCAGCACTTCCCTCGGGAAATGCATATATGATATTTGATGGTGAAAGTGGAAGGACACACCATCCATCCCCGCAATCTCACTTCCAACAAAGTGCTTATCCTCCAACTAGTGTCCCTCTTCAAAACCCACAGCATATGGTTGGCTCTAATATGATGATTCGTCCACCTCAATTCACACGCAGCCATCCCTACAATGAGTTGATAGAGAAGTTGGCAGGCATGGGTTACAGGGCTGATCACGTTGTTGGCATAATTCAAAGGATGGAGGAAAGCGGGCTGCCAATTGATTTTAATACCGTCCTTGACAGGCTGAATGGAAATTCTTCTGGAGGTTCTGAGAGAGGATGGTCTGGTTAAGCATTCCTCAAACACTAACCTGATTGCTAGTATGATTTCCCGGTCGTGTTTATCATGCCTTTGATAAAGGATGGTAAGAGTCACCTGATTCAGTATATAAAGGGTTGAAGAGATCGTTTTTTATATTTTAATCTCTTTCCCTGTGTCGTTATATTGCTTGTTATAAATCACGGTTTTCTTTTCAATTGCAATAGATAAGACTCTTCTGTTTATGCTCTCTAATCTGATTCTTATTTTCTTGCCTGTGGACTTGGGATTATAGAGGATTTTTAAAGGTCATGGGGCCTTTTTCTTGGCTGAGACGAAATCTTATATATCAGCAAATAGGAAAACATACTATTAGGGCTCGTTTGGCATGATTTTTAAAAAGCTAAAAGGATCTTTTGGAACCTTTTGGATGAAAGCAGTTTTTCGACCCATTTGACTAATTTTTTGAATATGCTTCTAATTAGAAAAACTTTTAGAGGAAGATCGTCCAATGTGATTTTACCTAAAAGTACTTTTGGGATAGGAATTTCTTTTAAAAGTTATTTTTCAAATAAAAATTATGACAGCTTCATTCAAAAGCTTTTCTACATGAAGCAAAAACAAAAGTTAAAGTCATGCCAAACGGGTCTAAATAGATGAGAAATATTGTAGCTACAATATTGAGATATTGCTTTCTTCTTTTTTGTTTTGGTTTAAAGTGATGTCAAACGGGTTCATAATGATCTAATTTTTTAGATCAATTCTTACGAGATGCGTTCACAATGAGTTCCAAGATCCTTTTAAGCTATCTATTCAAAGTATCAATCTGTCCACATTTGAGGGTAATGAGATGACTATTTGATGTTGTACCCCATATTTGTGAAGCACTGCCTTGATTAATTGATTGCAAAAGTGAGTTCCACCATCAATCATGATAGCTCGAGGTGCTCCATATCTATTAAATATGTATTTTTTTTTTTATAAATTTCACCATCGCCTTCGCATCATTGGTTGACAAGGGTCTAGCTTTCACCCATTTTGAGACATAGTCCACTGCTACTAAAATGTACCGATTGTTGTACGATGGGGGAAAATGCCCATGAAATCTATGCCCCATAAGATGATGCATGAATAATTGACAAGATTGGTTTCATTCTGTCTTTAGGTATTCATCTTCTGATGATTTGATCGTCCCTCTTCTAAATAAGTGAATCATTCTAATAATAGAATTTAGTTTCATGGAGAAGCTTTTTCTTGTGTGGATAAGTTAAGCTTCGATCTACATAACCACTAGCTAAATAATTTACGATGTCCACATACCATGGCGATTGCTCCACATGCATGATTTGCTCATATGGAAATACTTCATTAATCTCCACGTCATCTGCTTCATCTACCTGCTCTAATATCGATAAGTAATTTGCTACCTCAATTTTTGTCCCCATTTTTACCACATACTTCTATATCAAACTCTTATAACAATAACATATATCTAATCGATCGGGGTTTGCCATCTATCTAATCAGATATGAACAGAACTTGTCAAAAGCAAATATCACTGCCATTCTTGATTGTGGTATCATTGATCTGAGCATCTGTCAAAGTTTTGCAGCATAGTGTATGACATGTAAAATGTTTCCTTTGATGTTGTCCCAGAACTGTCCCCTACTGCATAGTCAACGTCATCACACATTAGCTTGAAGGGTAATTCCTAATCTAGTGTAACTATAATAGGTGCAGTTGTTAACTTTTCACTTAAAAGTGTTAAAAGCATCTAGGCACTCATCAAAAAAGTTAAATGACACGTATTTCTCCAATAGGTTGGAAGGAGGCTTTGTGATCTTTGAGAAATCATTGATGAACCTTCTATAGGACCCTGCATGTCTAAAAAAACTTTTGATCCCCTTAGTTGAAGTTGGTGGCTGCAATTTTTCAATAACTTGTAACTTGGCTTTGTCAACCTCAATACACTGTGAAGAAATTCGACGTCCCAAAACTATACCATCTTTCACCATAAAATGAGATTTCGCCCAATTAAGCACAAAATACCTTTCCTCACACCTCACACCGTTGTAATACTTGAGATGAATGTTTCGAGTAGTTGTCAAAAGAATCTCCAAAAACTAAAGTCATCCATAAATTGCTCGATATACTTTTTGACCATGTTAGAGAATATGACTATCATGCAATGCTGAAAAGTTGCAAGTATGTTACAAAGTTCAAAAGTGTAATGTCCTAAATTTTTACTACAAGTCGTTAGATTTAAATTTAGAACTTAAGTGCCCTATTATTAAAGTCTAGTAACTTTATTGATTACTGTCTAATAGTTAGTATCTAAGTGAAGAATTATCTTGTAAGTTAGATGAAATCGTGTGTAAAATATATGTAAATATAATTGATTTATTTGACTATATGCATTATTCACACCACATTTCAAGTCAATATAATTGATTTGACCACATACATTATTTACACCAAATTTCAAGTCAAGTTAATTGATTTGACCATATGATTAAAGGTATTGATTTGACCAATTTAAAGACAATACACAATTTATGTATTGACTATGCCTAACATCTAGCCATTTCTTTTCACTTTTCTATACGTCGTCCAAAAATTTACACTATAAATAGGAGACAACCCAACACTACAGACTACCCCTCAACAACTATTTACACATTTTGCCTCCCTACCTTTGTCACTTTGTCTCTCCACATTTACTCTTTCTCTCATCATTTTCATAATAAAGTAGTCATATACTTTCACAATCACACTTGAATACTCAACCTCACACATGGCTCAAGGATCTCTCTCCAACAATCACTTCTTTTATCATTTTGATTTACCCAGTGAAAATACAAGTGTCATTACTTTAGTATGTGACTAAATCTCTGTTTGTCATTTCAATATGTTAAGTTATGGTATGTATCATGTATAAGATTTATAAGGACGGATTAGAGTATAGTAGCGCTATGCACGAAAATTTGGTACCATCTAAGTTAGAACCACTTTTTGTATCTCCCTATGCAAGTAAGAAATTTTCCTTAAAATGTGCAAGAACAAAAATCACTCACGTACACTTATTGAGATTTTATCCTATATTATGTTCTTTTTTCATTTTCAGAAAATTAATGGTTTGAGGCGGTCGATGCGGAGATAAATGCCGTCCATGAGATATTTAAAATAATTTTCACGAAGTTATGTTGAATTTTAGTTAATTTATAACTTGGTACTGTAGCTCGGATGAACGTATTATCGATCCGACCAACACTCTGTGACACGATTAAAAGTCATAAAAAAGGTGACCAGTGCCTGGAATTTATTAAAACTAAGATAGAAATGGGTAAACGAAAGGATTTCACCATATCCAATGATAAAACACTATATCGTTAAGGATGATTATGCATACCAAACTTCAAGGAACTGAAAAAGGAAATATTAGAGGAGACTCGCTCTGCTAGATATTCAGTGCATCCAGAAGGTACCAAGATGTACCAGGACCTGAAAATGGTATTTTGGTGGAGTGGAATAAAGAAGGATGTAGCTGAGTACGTTGAAAGGTAAATTGTCATTCCAACAAATGAAGGCCTAACACTGACCATCAAGGTTGCTACAGCCATTAGATGTTCCAGAATGGAAATGGAAACATGTGACAATGGACTTTGTTGTAGGTTTGTCAAAATCAGTAAAAGGCCATGTGGCCATTTAGGTGATCGTTGATCGATTATCCAAGTCTGCTCATTTCTTACTGGTTCGTATGACTTTTCTATGGACCAATTTGCATAGTTGTATGTTGAGGAAGTGGTAAAGTTGCACAGTATACCAGTTTCAATTGTATCGGACAGGGACTCAGGTTTACATCGAACTTTTATAAGAGTTCACATTGGGTTATTTGAACTTGTGAACTAAATTGAACATTAGTATAGCTTTCTATTGTCAAACAAATGGGCAATCTGAGTGGACGATCCAAACATTAGAGGATATGCTTCGATCATGTGTTCTAGAGTTTGGTAGACATTGGGAGAAGCATCTACCTTTAATTGAGTTTGCTTTTAACAACAGTTAATCATACCTTTATCGACATGGCCCCCTATGAAGCATTGTATGGAAGCAAATGCAGATCACCGACTCATTGGGATGAGGTTGGTGAGCATAAGATTGTGGGTCCAGAGATTATAAAACAGACTGTGCATGGAGTATTACATTTTTGGTAAGAAGGGAAAGTTGCGACCAAGATTAATTCGCCTGATCGAAATCTTGAGGTGTGTTGGAAGTGTAGCATATCAGTTGGCCTTACTCCCCGAACTCCCAGGAGTACATGACGTATTTTATGTGTCCATGCTCAGGAAATACGTCCTTGATCCGAGCCATGTAGTAATTCATCAATCAATTGAGTTTCAACAAGGTTTAAGTTATGAAAAGTACCGGTTGAAATTATCAATCAGAAATTTCAAGCACTTAAGAACAAGGTGATCCCTTTAGTTAAAGTACGATAATGTTAATCACTCAGCTGAAGAAGCTACTTGGGAGCGAGAGGTGGAAATGCAAGCCAAGTACCCACAAATCTTTGAGGAGTTCCAAGGTACATTTCTCTGACGAAATTTATTTTAAGGGAGGTAGGTTGTAGTGACCCAATTTTTTACTACTAGTCGTTAGATTTAAATTTAAGACTTGAGTGTGCAATTATTAAAGTTTAATGACCATATTGTTTATTGGCCTAGTCTAATAACATTATTAATTACTGGTCAATAGTTTGAGGACCTAAGTGAAAAGTAAACTTGGAAGTAAGATGAAATCATGCGTAAGATATATGTAAATATGTCAATTAGGCATGATTTAAAATTTATTTGACCACATGCATTATTCACACCACATTTCAAGCCAATATAATTGATATGACCACATGCATTATTTACACCAAGTTTCAAGGCAAGTCAATTGATTTGAATACATGATTAAAGGTATTGATTTGATCACTTTCAAGATAATACATCATTTATACATTGACTATGCCTAGCATCTAATCATTTTCT